ATGGGGACCGCGATGCGTCGGCGCACGGCACGGATTTTGGCGCAGGGGACAGGTATACTGGTGGTCGAACCATGAGCTGCCGGACGGCGCGTCCGGGGCGCAATGGGCATAAGAGCTGCAAAGGGGAGGGTGAGGTGGCGCAGGTCTTTGAGGAATCACCGTCCTGGATTACACCAGCGGGCGGGACGGCGGCGTCGGCCACTGGTGAGGTCCGACTTCGGGGCCGAGGTCATCAAGGTGGAGCCTCCGGGCGGTTGACATGAAAAGTTCGGAACTCGCCGGGATCTATCCAGTGGAACCGGGGCAAAAAGGAGTCGGTCCTGGACCTGAAAACGCCGGAGGGACGGGATAACGGCGGGAAGTTGGCGCGCTACTTTACGACGTGGGTGGGAGAGTTCCGGCGGGGGGGCCAAGAGCTGGGCATTGTTACAAAAGCCTGCGCGCGGAGGCATCCCGGGAAGTGTATGCCACGCTGGACCCGGCTTTCGGCAAGACGAAGGAGGGCCTACGCACAAGACACAATGGGCTACGACGGCGTGATAGGTTGGACCGCCAGAGCGGCCGGATGATGATGTCGCGAGCAGCAGGCATCCCCGGCGAGGGTACCCAAAACGTACGGGGGTTGTCAGGGCGATCTGCCACTGCAGGAAGACGCCAACGGCGCCTCTGGGTCGAGGCTATCAAGTCCGCTTATTACGTGCGGGAAAAGACCGGACAGTAGTGGGGCCAGCGGGTGGAAAGAACCAGCAGCTGAAGGCCGTGACACCTACGATCAGTGTCCTGGGTGTACGGCCAGATGATCGAGAACCTGCCCGACACCTACCCCGGCCGGACCCGAGAAGTCGATGGGCATCGGTGCGTGCACCAACCCCACGGAATGGCAGGGTAAACATGAGGTGACCTGCGGCCCGACCCCACCACAGGACGGCCAAGCGGATCCAAAACTGGGGGATATGATGGTGGAGCGTGGTTCGGGGTTTGTCCATGATGCAACTGGACGGGACATGGAAGCTGTTCATATACGAAGGACCCGATGAATTTGAAGTTCAAAGAAATGATCGCTGGAAAGAACTGCGCCCATTCGATGATCAGGACGCCGTTGCGGCACCGGGAACGGATCATATGCTGTGAGAGCAGATGAAAGAATTGGAGGAAAAAGGCAAGAAAGTAAGAAACCGAACGAAGAAAAGAAGAAAAGAAGAAGAAAAGAAGTTTAATAAGTCAGATAGAGAAGTAAGAACATACCAAGAAGAAGGAAAGAAAGAAGAAAGAAAGAAAGAAAGAGAGAGAACTCTTCACGTTCTAAAGGAAGGTCCAGGAGAAGACGCGGACGAAGTGGATGGGCAATATTCTCGGATGTGAGCCGGCAACCGTGGCCGACGCCCGAAGAGCCCTACATCACCTCGAAGCAGGGCCCTTGGACCATCTCAGATCGGGCATAACGGCACGCGCAGGAAGTGTTTTGTCCCTTGGCGGGTCGGCGGAACGCGGCAGCTAGGCCCCATGCGTGAAACATGACCGGGACGCGGGCAGAAGCGGGGCGGCGCCGGCGTGGGTCAGCCAAACGGCGGAGACGTGGCCGCCTGGGCGGGACGCCGGAAGTCGTTACAACGGTGGGCCGGGAGGCAGGATGCCCAAGACTACACTCACTGTTAGATGTCGCTCGGGGACCCCCCCTGACCCGCCCCGCACCCGATTGTGGACTGGGACGGTAATCAACGGCCCCCTGGGTTGCGCCCTGGTAGCCGAGCTGGGCGCCAGGGTAATCCGCATCGAAGCCCCCGGCGGCGATTGGGGCCGGCAGGGGATGGCCATGACGGTGCACCGTACCATGGCAGGTTCCGAGGGCATTTGCCTGGACCTCAAGACTCCGGAGGGTCAGGAGATCATGGGCAAGCTGGCAGCCAAGGCCGACCTGCTGCTGCACAGCATGCGCCCAGAGCCCCCGAGCGCACGGGCATCGGGTACGAGCAGTTATCCAGGATCAATCCCAACCTGGTTTACCTCTACGCCGGCGGCTACGGCTCCACGGGCCTTACTCTCACCGTCCGTCTATGGCCCCGATTGCCGGCGCCGTGTCCGGCGGTGGCGTGGCTCAGATGGGGCGGGACGCTTTTCCACCGCCGGACCAGTCCATGTCCATTGATGACATTGCTGCCGTAGCCAGGCAACTCAAACGGGCGAACGACGGCACTGCCGATCACAACACTGCCATGGTCAATGCCGTCGGCCTGGTACTGGGCCTCTATGCCCGTGAGCGTACCGGCAAGGCACAATATGTCGAGTCCACCATGATCGCTGCCAACGCCTATGCCAATGTCGACGACTTTCTACTGGCACGAGGGCAAGCAACCTCGACCGTTGCCGGACAGTGACGGATACGGGCTGCACGCTCTCTACCGCCTGTACCGGGCAAAATCGGGGTGGGTGTTCCTCGCTTGTCCCTTCGAGGACGAGTGGGAGGCCCTGTGCCGGACCATCGACCGGACGGACCTTCTGGACGATCCCCGCTTTGCCACTCCCGAGACGCGGGGGGAATACGACCATGCGCTGGCTGACGAATTGGCCCGGGTGTTCGCCGGCGAAGAACCCCTGTATTGGGAGCAGTTGCTCACCGCCGCCGACGTGGCATGCGTCAAGGCCGAGGATCGGGGAATGTTTTTCTTTTTCAACGAAGATCCCCACGTGCGTGAAAACGAACTCCGTACCCAGGTAGAAGCGCCACGCTATGGTCAATTCTGGCGGTACTCCCCGGTGGTCGACTTCCCGGATTCCTCGGGACGGGCCGGCCCCGGACCGCTCAAAGGTCAGCACACCCGCCCTCTCCTCAGGGAATTGGGGTATACCGACGAACAGATCCGCGACTTGAAACAACGGAAGGTAGTGGACTGGGAGGAGGAGTAGCAGGCTATGGTGGGTGCAATGATTCCAGCCGATACCAATGGCATAAGGGACAAGGCCGCGATAGTCGGCATAGGCGAAACGGAGTTTTCCTGGAACTCGGGTCGTAGCGAGTTGCAGTTGGCCTCCGAGGCGATCAAGGCCGCCTGCGATGATGCCGGTATCGCTCCGCAGGATATCGACGGACTGGTGCGCTACGACATGGAGTCCAACCACGAAACGCTGCTGATTCAATCGTTGGGCATCAAGAACCTGCGTCACTGGGAATCTGTCTCCTACGGCGGGGGCGCGGGCAACGCAGTGATCGGCCATGCCGCCGCCGCTGTTGCTGCCGGGTTTTGCAACTACGTGGTGTGCTTCCGCGCCGCCAACCTCCGTTCCGGGTTGCGCTTGGGCCGGGCCAGAGGGTCCGGAGCGAATTCCCGGCGGGGCGCAGAGCTTTGCCGCTCCCTGGGGCAGCATGGCTCCGGCGCATCATTTCGGAATGTTCGTCCGGCGTTACATGCACGAGTACGGGAGCTACCAGCCGCCACTTCGGTTGGGTCGCTGTTACCCTGCGCGAGCACGCCTCCCGGAACCCTCGCGCTCTCCGGAGGGACCCATCACCATCGACGATCACCAGAATTCCCGTATGGTGGTGGACCCTCTGCACGTGTTGGACTTCTGCCAGGAAAACGACGGCGCCGCTGCCATCGTGATCACGACCCCGGAGCGCGCCAGGGAACTGCGCCACTCCAGCACCCTGACCCTGGTTGAGGCGGCTGCCCAGGGCTCCGGCCCTCGCAACGATGGCATAATCTACCGCCCCGACCTGGCCGCGTCAGAGTCGGAGAACACCGCCCGAGATCTGTGGGCCCGGGCCCGCTTGCAAGCTCGGACATGGATGCGCTGATGTTCTACGACCACTTCACGCCCGTTCTGCCTGCTGAACCTGGAAGCCTACGGGATTTGTGCCCAGAGGCGAGGCAAAGGACTTCGTGGAAGGTGGAAGCAACCTGCGGTTTGATGGCATGACTGCCCACCAATACCCACGGCGGCAATCATTCCGAAGCGTATATCCACGGCCTGACCCATCCCCAGGAGGCTGTCCGGCTTATCCGAGGCACCTCCACTGCTCAACCGCCCCACAAGACCGTTAACCGGGTCCTGTCCTGCAGTAGCACGGCCCAACTGAGCGCCGCCGTGATAATTCGCCGGGGATAGCGCCGGGGTGGTCCAAGGACTTCGAGGAGTTTCGATGACTCAGGAAAGCGAACAACCCGCCAAGTCCCGGCCGATGACCGCGCCGCTGGAAGGCGTACCGCTACCCGACCTGGAGCGGTTGCCGGACTATGAGCAGGGGTTCTGGGAGGGGCCGCGGCACGGCGAGCTTCGCATCCAACGGTGCTCGGATTGCAGCGTGTTCCGGCACCTGCCAACGCCCATGTGTCCAGAATGCTCGTCTCTGGAATACAACTGGGCCAGGGTCAGTGGCCGGGGTTTTGTTTACTCCTATGTAATAGTCCGACACCCGGTGCACGCGGCGATCCGTGAGAAGGAACAGACTCCCTATAACCTCTGCATGATCGAGCTGGAGGAGCAGGAGGGCCTTCGGATTTGCAGCAACGTCCTCCAAGTACCCCCCGAGGACATCAGCATCAACATGCCGGTGCAGGTGACTTTCTTTCCCGCGGTCGACGAGCCCGAGGTGGTGCTGCCGGTGTTCCTACCCGCCACGCTACAATAGACACCCGGCGCACGTCGCAACGATTATCGGCTTTGGGGCCCGCCGCCCTTTGGCTCCCTTTCGTGACCGGGTTTAAGCGTCTCCAGGAGACCAAATCCAGTACCTGGAAATGGCGCCGGCATCCACACGCAGGTCGAATCCGGTGATCATTTCGGAGTCGTCGGATGCCAGGAAGACCGCAGCCTTTCCATAATTTGTCGGGCTGGGGAGCTTGAGCAAAGGCGCGCCTCTGCTGGCGTCTGGTAGTAGTCCCGCTGCACGTTGTCCCGAGCGGGGTGCCGGCCAATCCACGCCCCATCTGGCGGCCCGTTCCCGTCCTTCCGATTGGTCGGTGGCGGTGGGTGTCAAGCTGTTGACGCGGATGCCGTACTCGGCCAGTTCCATGGCCACCGACCTGGTGAAGTTGATCAGTCCTGCCTTGGCGGTTCCGTAGCCCACGTTGCCAGGCTCGCCCTGATGCCCCGCGGTGGAGATGATGTTGATGATGTTGCCCTTTCGATTCTGCTGGATCATCAAATGAGCCACATGCTTGGTGAACAAGAAGGCACCGGTGAGAATAATGTCGGTCTGGCGGCGCCACTCGTCTACGGGCATGTTCAACACGCCCTTGAAGTTGAACACAGCTGCGCCGTTCACCAGGATGTCCACACCCCCAAATCGTTCTGTGGCCTGGGAGATAGCGGCGACCACCTGGTCCTCGTCGGTTACGTCGCAGCCTACGCCCATGGCGTCGTATCCCTCGGCGACTATCGCCGAGGCGCATTTCTCGGCGTAATCCGCGCGGATATCGGCGCAAACCAGGTTGGCTCCCTCCCGGGCCAACTCCTCGGCGATACCGCCCATGATGTTGGGACTCGTACCGGTCACCAGCGCCGTTTTACCTTCGAGTTTCAATCGCTAGCCTCCACCACTCGGGTGCTTCCACGAAATCGAACGGCCCGGGTGTTCGAAACCCGGATGTTCAAAAGATAATGCTAACCGCACCGTGCCAGGAGAGAGCCTCCAAATCCAGCACTGCGCGGCGGTACGCTATTTTCAGACCCCCGTCGTCCCGCCGCAAGACGTAGTCGATACTACCTACGTAAGGAGCTCCCTCGCCGTTACGGAACCGATAGACCAGGACGTTTGACGTTACCGAGAGCTCACCATCATTGGTTTCCTCAACCCGCACGTTGGAAACGAATCGGCGAGTCCGCGACCAGGGATACTCGCGGTGAGCATGGCGGCTGTTCAGGCGCACCGCGCGAGCGCGCAGGCGGGCGATATCGTCGTCAATGAACACCAGGTCGCGCTTGGGGTCCCCATCCGGCAAGTCGGTGGTGGGGACCACGTACCGGGCATCTTCGGTAAACAAATTGACCCAATCGTCCAGGCGCCATTCATCCAGTAGCGCCGCCTCTTTAAACAGGAAATCCTCTACCAGCTCGCGCAACGTGGGTTGGTTAGCGGTTGTCATCATTTACCTGGTCCGGCGGGGCGTCAGTCGTCTGTAGCCAAAGCCGGCACGGCTTCGGTTTCCGTTACCGGCCCGTCCTGCACGTCGGTATGACTCAGCCCTTGCATATTCGCGTGCCATTGCCGCCAGAATCCCCGCATCTGAAGCTCATCCGTCGATTTGGCAGGACTGAGCATACCCCTGGAGATATCCGACCACTCGGTTTCGGTGGCGCGGAAGCCGGCTTGGCAGGATTCCAGAGCCTCCACATCATCCGGCGTGGCAAAGCCGCCCGGTCCCAGGAAGGTCAGGAAGCTGTCCAATCGAGTGGCCAGCATGGACTCCGACTCCTCTCGCGGAACGAGGTGCCAGGCCGTAACCTCCATGTGGTCGGGGGCCACCGGTTCGAAATACCGGATGGTGATGGCCATGATGTCGTTGATCACCAGGTTGGGATAGATGATCAGGTTTCGGGAAGTATCGGCCATCCGGTGGGTCCGCTCTTCTCCGTACTTTTCCACCAGCCGCTGACGGACTCGCGCGATCGGCTCCCTGGCCTCCTCACCGAACAGCGGGTGCCAATGAGCGATGGGGCGGCCGTTCCGCACTGGAGATTCGATCACACAATGACCATTGCCCAGCGCTTTCGCGGTGCCGACGATGCGGGATGCCGCCGTTTGCCCGCTGTCGTCGGTCCCGAGACTGCTGATGTAATCCAGATAGGTTTGATGGGTCGGAACCAGGTGATATCCATCCAGGCTGTTTTCCACCAGGAGCTTCCAGTTGGCCTTCATGGTGTACTTGTTGGAACCACGAATTACCCGCATCCCTTCCTCGGCTTGGTCCACTATCAGGTCAAGGTAATCTTTAGCGCCAGCCAGATAAGTTACCAAGTCATCGACATAGGGGTTGAAACTCACGAAGTAAAAGCCCCGATAGCTTTCGACTCTGGGTGGTTGCTTCAGGCCCAGCTCGCTTTTGTCAAAGTAAGGGCCGTAGGCATCCTCGCCGGGGACACCGATCAGCTTTCCGTTGGTGTTGAAAGACCAAGCGTGATAGAAGCATTGCAGGACATCGGCGTTCCCCGCGTCGCGGCGGCAGATCAAAGCGCCCCGATGGGTACAGGAAATGAGGAACACGCGCACCTGATCATCTTTGCCACGGACCAAGAAAAGCGGTCGACCAGCTATTGTGCGGCGCAGGTAGTCTCCGGGATGTTCCACTTCCGACTCGTGGCCCAGGTAGATCCAGCATCGGTCAAAGATTTGTCCCTGTTCCCGCCGGAACAAATCCACGGAGGTCATGGACGACCGATGGACCCTGAAAATACCCCGCCGCCGATCGTCTATGATCAGATCTTCGATCTCCATAATTCACCCCAATCGCCCAGCGTAGATTCGAAGTTGACGCTAGGCTAGAGTCCTCGCCCGGGGTTGTCAACCTGTGGTACAGGTAGTGCCGTCAAGTCAAGATGATCGAGTTAGATTGCCAGTGAGAGCGTGAGGAGTGGACACAGGTTTTCTCGGGCCGGCTAACACCCCTCAAACTCCGTAAGGAACGGCAGAAGCACCTGGGCATGGGCCAATCCGAACTGGCCGAGCGGTCAGGCGTCAGCCCGAGAACCATCAACGCCTGGGAATGGGGCAACCGCGCTCTCAAGGGGCGCAAATTCCCCACCCTTCTAGAGGTGCTTGGGATGGAGACGCGTTTATGCATAGGCGGCCGGTACCCAATGTTGAACGATCACGCCAAGAGGAACGAGCACAAGGAGAATTGACGAGCTTGGGCATCAATCTCAACGCGAGGGTGCGTCTAACGTCTGACGAGATGCCGGATTTGGCCATGCTCGTATGGACCTGGCTGCCGGACCTGTTCGCTTTTTTGCGGATCGTCCGGGCGGATACAGCTTACGCGGGCCGGTTGGTGGCGCAGGCTTGAACCGCTCGCGGTTGGCTCCCGTAGTCGATCAAGAAGGCGGATAGCCGTCGATTCGATGTGCTGCCCAGCCGGCGGGTCGTGGACCGTAAGTTGGCGTGACCGAGCCAGTGCCACCGGCTGTGCAAAAATGATGAAGAACGAACAGAAACCAGGGAAGCTTGGCTACACACCCCCGCGGTCTACCTGATGGTCAAAAAGCTCACGCCTGCCCAAGCCCCTTGGCCACATGCTCTCTCACGCCTCCCACCCTGGCGGAATGGGTGATAACAGGACCAGTGTAAATCCCAACACGACTGCTCTTGATTTGGTCCAGTTTGGTGGACAGCTTCCACCGGTTAGTCGAGAACCCTGACCAGCTTCTGCATTGAGCGAAGCTCGCGGGGCGGATCCATGTGCCGCCCGTAGTCGGTCCAGGACACCTCCGCCACGTACAGGTCTCCCCGGGAGTCCACGGCTATCCCGTGGGGGGAATAGAAACCGGCCCGATTGGTCGCCGTAGCTCTCGCGCCCGACCCTGGCCAGGACCTTGCCCTGGTGTTCATGACCGTTACACGGGGACGAGATCGGTGCCGATGTCGTTGGTGGCGATCCCGCAGAAGTACTCGCCGATGTATATCAGTTCTTCGCCCGAACGGTCGCCGATGCAGATGGCGGCGGCGCGAGAGAGGTTGCCCCACTGCGTCTCGTATTTCCCCTCGGGCTGAAGACCTGGATGCGATGATTCTCACGGTCGGCGACGTATACCCAGCCGTCGTTGTCGACAACGACGTTGTGGACGATGTTGAACTGGCCGTCCCGGTGCCCGATTCGCCCCAGGAGAAGAGGAGCCTGCCGTCGGGTGAGTACTTGTGCACCCTCGCGTTGGAATAGCCGTCGGCCACGTAGAATTCTCCATTGCGCTTGTCGAAGGCCACGTGGGCCGGGACGCTGAACGGTTCGCCGCTCATCCTGGGGCTCGGCTGGTGGGGCGTGCCAAGGGTCATCAGCAGCTCGCCGTCGGGCGTGAATTGCCGGACCGTGCTGTCGCCGTTGTCCACGCAAAAAACGGTGTCGTCCGGCGCGATGGTCACACCGTGGGGGTTGGTGAATATCCCATCGCCCCAGGTGCGCAGTGGGTTCCCATCGGTGTCGAATACGATCATCGGTATGGTCCCGCGGTTGAAGACGTAGACCTGGTCCTTCGAGTCAACCGCGACGGCCGTTCCCTCTCTGTAAAACCACCCTTCGGGAAGTTGCCCCCAGTTCTCGCCCGAGACCCGGTAGTGGAAACCGTTCTCGCCGATTACGACCAGCCCGCCGTTGTCACCTTCGGTCCCGTGTCCCTCGGTGCGCAGGCCGTACTCCCAGTCCCGTTCCTTGTCGACCATCTGCCTGACCTCCTCGGATCTGCGCCGGCTGGTGCCGGTGGTATTGCGGAATATATCACAGGGTCTGTCGGCCGTCCGCCGAAGCCGTCAGCGGCTGGCTGCACCCCGCGCCGGTGCGGACCCTTTGGGAACGTTACAGTGGCGGCGGTCCGGCGTCGGACATATAATCGGCAGCAGACAAAGCGGACAAGACCCGCCTCCGAATGCGTTTGGAGCGAGCGAAGATCATTGGCAGAGCGGCTCCAGGGGGGTCGAAAAGTACGCGGGAGGACAAACCTATGACAGACCTGAATTTCGCGACCCTTTCCGGCGACTACACCGTAATCAGCGAGGCGGCAGTCGAGGACTTCAGGGGTAGCTTGCACGGGGAGACGCTGCGCCCCAGCGACGAGGGCTACGACAGCGCCCGACGGATCTGGAACGCCATGATCGACAAACGGCCCGCCCTGATCGCCCGCTGCAGCGGAACGGCCGACGTGATCAACTCGGTCAACTTCGCCAGGGAGAATGACCTGCTCATTTCGGTGCGCGGCGGCGGCCATAACTTCCCGGGCAACAGCGTTTGCAACGACGGCCTGATGATCGACCTGTCCCAAATGACCGGCGTGCGCGTCGATCCGGCGGCCAAAACGGTCCGGGCCCAAGGCGGGACGAAGTGGGGAGCGTTCGACCACGAGACCCAGGCCTTCGGACTCGCCACGCCCGGAGGAACCGACCTGGACACCGGCATCGCCGGTCTGACGCTGGGCGGCGGCATCGGATGGCTGTCCGGCGCTTACGGCCTCAGTTGCGACAACCTGATTTCCGCCGACGTGGTCGCCGCCGACGGCCGGCCGCTCAACGCCAGCGCCGACGAGAACCCCGACCTGTTATGGGCCCTTCGGGGCGGCGGCGGCAACTTCGGCGTCGTAACCTCGCTCGAGTACCGGCTGCATCCCGTCGGCCCTATGGTGCTGGCCGGCTACCTGGTCTACCCATACGACAAGGTGAGGGACTTCTTCGCCCTGATCAGCGAGTTTACCGCCAATATGCCCGACGAGATGAACATCATCACCTTCCTGACGACCCTCCCCGAGGGCGGAGGAAAAGCGTGTAGGATTCTGCTCTGTTACTACGGCCCAATCGAAGAGGGGGAGCGGGTCATCCGGCCGCTCCGGGAGTTCGGCCCGCCATTATCCGACGAGGTCCGGGCCATGACCTACGCCGAGGCTCAGAAGCTGGCGCTGGCCCCCCAAGGACGGCAGAACTATCTGAAGTCCCATTTCATGAGTCAAGTCAGCGACGACTCGTTGGACATCACGCTCGACTTTTTTGACCGGATTACCTCGCCGCTCTCGAGCATCCTGTTCCAGTATCTGGGCAACGCCGCCCGACGTGTGCCCGCCAACGAAGCCGCGTTCGGCCACCGGGGCGCCCTGTGCGAATGGGCCGCCAACGCGGTTTTTCTGGACCCGGGGGAGTCGGAGGTCCACATCCGATGGGTCCGGGACTTCGCCTCGGCGTTGTTGCCCTTTTCCTCGGGGGCCTACATCAACCAGGTCGGCACCGAGGCGGAGGAAGGAGAAGAGGCGATACAGGCGGCTTTCGGCGACAACTTTCAGAGGCTGGCAGCTCTGAAACAGAAGTACGACCCGACGAACCTGTTCAGCCACAACCAGAACATCCGACCCCGGATCTAGGAATCCGAAGGGTCGGGTGTTGGCGTATCGAGGACGGGCGAGGGGGCGGCAGCCAGTCGCCAACTACAACGAAGGCAGACGCGCTTTGAAGATCGGCGGCTTGGCACCCGTTCGTTCCCGCGGAGGTGGGAACATCCTAAGCCCCA